AAAACAAATATAGGAATATATGAAGTCAACATATCAACACAATAGTCTTGCCTCCCCTGATGCTGACCTAAAAAATTCATATAGACCTAGACCATAGTGTGAGTTTGTTCACCACCTGAAATATTGAAAGCAAAATTTCATATTGCTGATAATTTTTCAGGATTGCTCAAAGGTTCCAAATTCAATAATCACAGAGAACCGAATAATTGATCCATCAATTAAATATACATCCATATCAAAATGTGTCTTCACTTTGACTAGAACAGCCGGGTATAAGTATATTGATTTTAATCAAAATCAAATTAATACTTAAGCACAGTTGACAAAAATGGCACAGGCCCAGGCACTCTGTTTAAAGAAAATGTCACAGATATGCAAAATCTTTGGTTGAGAAAAATCCTAAAATTTTATAGGGCAGGGTTTTTAAAAATGAGAAGTTGACTATTTTTGGGAGCAAATGTATTTTTGGAAGCAAAAGTGATTGCAACAATATATCAAATTTTATATTTTTAGTGTATTTATGTTTTTGAAAGCAGTGGGAAGATAAGAAAGGGTCTTCAAAGTCCCAAAAAATAAAATGGGGTCACTTATTCCCATCAGAGCACCAAATATATCTAATTATGAATAACTGCTGCAGGTAAAGGGAGAATGACTAAAAGAAATGCCAACTACATAATCAATAATTTGGTCAGTAACCATTAAGTATATATGGCTATTATCATGAATATTAAAGATTTAGGTCATTGCAAATAACTTTTTTGCTTAAGCATTTTCCAGTATAGTTTATATTGCATGTACTAGCTTATTGTAAAAATGTCTTGAATATAACAACAACTTCAAACACGATAAAATTACTTTTTTTACTTTTTATTTTTTTTACAACTTTCAGGATCAGAAGTGCTATTGCTAAAATGCTTCTACATTTGCATATGTCTGATACCCTCCTAAGTACTAGATGTGTCCAAATATTAGAGCTATGTCAAAACTGCAAGGAACCTTATTCAATTCTAGAACAGGTGGCTTATTTCATGATAAAGATTATCTTGAACATTTTAGCTTTATTAGTGGTTTGTAAGTTACAAAACTTATGAAAATGGAACTAAAGTTAAATAGAAAGGTCTTTATAAATATTTGAAGTTTAGATAGTATCACACTTCGTAGAAAGCCATCACGAATTATGCATTTTGTTTTTGCCCTTTTTGTGTGAAGACTGGGCTATGGCCTTAATAGAGAGGGTGCTAATTTCAGGTTTCTGCTCAGTGTAGAGATTGCACTAACTAGAGAGCTTATTTCAGCTCTTTAAGGGTAAACTTTACTACCTCCATTACATCATTTCTACTTGGTACTGTAAAAATTTTACAACAGCGGCTACTGTGCAGGTTCTGCAATTAACAGCTCTTCTTGATTTTCCCTCCACTTTTATCAATGTTTCACACCAGCAGTCTTTTTTCTTTCTCTTCCACAAACTTAAGAATATGCATTTCAGTTCTTGAGCCTTGGGGCTTTAGCCTTAGACTTTCTTTGTCTTTAAAGTTCTTTGCAGAAACATCTGCTCTCTCTGGGTTCATTGCACCATCTGAGCTGCTGTTTGGAATGTCTTCTGTTTGTTCTTCGGTTTCATCCCCTATTGATGTTTTTTCTATCTGTTCCTGGTGACTTTGAGAAGTTTTGTCTGCTCCTATTTTTGTATCATTCTTATTTTTTGCTACTTCTGTTTCTTTCTCTGTACCATTATATGGTCCTTCATTTTTCTTCTCAGAGCTTTCATTTAATGTATTATTGACTGGAGTCTCATTTGAGTAGACGTTGTACTCTCCATTTTTATTTTCTTTATCCTTGCCGTGAAGTTTTGGCATCCCCAGCATGGTATTTGTTTGGCCCTGGTTTCTTGTTTTCTTTAACGCTGGCACTCCTGTGGTGTTTTTTCCATCGTTTTCCTCACCTGATGCAAGCTCGACAGTCTTATTCCTATTACCTATTTCATTACTTTGCACGCTTGAATTTCTATTTGTTTTCTTCTTATCACGCGACAGGTCTCCTGAAACTTTCAAAATTTTTTCCTCATGCCTGTGAAAAGTGTCATTTTCGTTTTCTTTGGCATTTTTCTTTACCTCATTTTGACTACCGTTACCTAATCTTGAATCAATCTTTCCCTCTTTTTCTTGTGTTTCGTTAAAGAGCATTGCTCTTTGCTGTGTTTTCAGACCACCCTCTTTTTTTGTCATGTTTTTATCTGCACCTTTCTCCTTTATCATTTGATTGCTTTTATTCTGTTTATCAAATACGTTGTTTATTTCTTTTATTTGTTTTTCATCAACACCGTTGTCAAAGCTCTCTTGTTTCTTCCCTTCCTGTAGTTTTATTTTTTCATTCAATGCTCCCTCGGTCTCCTCATTCTTTGGCATGTTTTCTTTATTCGTAAATTTACTTAGCCCTTTATTTGCCTTTTTATTTCTGTGATCTTTTAATCCTGCTGATAAATCTCCTGGCTTTTCACTTTCGTTATCTTTTACTGTCTTTGCTTCGTCCTCGCTATCTTTTGAATGTTTCAAATTTTCGGTATTTGACTTGAATTCCTCAGTCAAACTTTCATATGACTTGAATTCCTCATTATTTGTCTTTTTCTCCATATTTGTTCCCTTCGTGCCATTGCCCAATTTGTGTCGTTCACTTAATTCAATTTTTTGGTTTCCTCTTTGGGTTTCATTTTCAAGCTTCTGTTTTTCTTCATATTTTTCTTCATATCTCATGCGTTGATCAAAGTCTTTTGTTTGATTAATATTTTCATCCTTGAAAGTTGAATTCCTGTTGGTTTCCTTTTTGTCGCCAGACCTTTGACCTTTTCCTACATTTCTTCTTCCTTGCTTTTCTCTTGTGTCTTTGACTTTTCGTCATAACTTTTTGTTATATTTTTCACTGCATTTTTCGTAATTCTTTCAGTGTTTCTCCCAATTGTTTTGTTTGTCAAGTCCTTATTTTTCAAAGACCAATAGCTTCCAGCTGGTGCAGCTAGACTTGAGGTAGCCAGCAAACTGAAACATAACACAAAGATAGTTTCAGAATTCATATTTATGTCCGTTTATCAAATAACTGCAAAAAAATGTGTGGCTATTTAATGGTTGCTCTGCCTGCTTGGTAAAACTTTCCTTATACGCTTCCAGATATTTCGTATCATTTTCGATTAGGTGATCAACAATTTTTACCTGCATTTGCTTTTTGTTGCTCGGTCAAGCCAGGCAGCCATCGATAAACAAATCAACGATCTCCGTAATCAACAACACAATATTTTGAGTATTTACATCCCCCTTCACATGGAAATATAATTTAGAAAATAAACGTTTGTAAATAATGAGCTTTTTTCTTACCTCCATGTTAATGCTACCTGCTTCTTAGATAGAGGCTCTTCAATATTGATATGAATTTCAAAAAAAATTTTCCTTATGGAAGAAATTTTACAAGTTTAACAAATTTTTTCAATCTATTTCGCATAGCTGATAATTTGGCTAACAGTTATCTGTTTCGTTACTGCTCTTTGCATGCTTGTATTTCTATATCATCAAGAAAAAAGAAATTTCAATCAGAAGGTCAGAACATTTAGTCCAGTCGCATAATTCGAATTTTTGGTCAGATTGTGACAGACTGGAACAAAGCACCCAACTTTTTATGGTGATATCACGAGGCATGGAGAGCATTTCCAGAAGGGGTGATTTAGAAAGCATTCTGGTGATTTTTCTATGACGTTATACGATTTTATCTCTAGCTTACCCCCCAAAATCGATAGAAACCGGCACTCCTTCTGGAAATGTTCTCCATACCCCTAGGTATCACCAAGAAAAGTTTGGTCAAAGAATAGAAATGACTAGAATAGCTTTGTTCCAGTCTGTCACGATTTTCATCTTAAGTGACTGGACTAATTGAAGATTTAGGGTTGGGAAAGGTAATTATCTTGCGAACGCAGTTAATTCTCACTGAAGCCAGAACTACCGTAAATCCTCGAATTGCCTCCCCCCCTCAAAAAAGCCCCCCCTCTCGAATAAGCCCCCACCCTAGAACTACAAATTGTCAATAACCCCCTCCCCCTCTCGAATAGGCCCTCACTGCTACCGTAAATTCTCAAATTGGGTTGCCTATGGCGTTTTATTGAATTACCACAACAAATTCATACTTTTGGTAGTAATTAAATAAATGCTCATAAAGAAATTTCTACTGAAATAAACGAGGTCTTTTAATGATGTCCTCTTAATGTCTACAATAATTTTATAAGCCCCCCCCCACTCGTATAAGCCCCCATCCAAGAATATCAAAAATAAATAAGCCACCAGGGGGCTAATTCGAGGATTTACGGTAATCATTCGTTTGGTTAGCTGTACATTAAAAGGGACAACGTTTTCAAGACAGCATGAGATGAAAAATAAACTAGAAATGTGCGCCAGAAGAAAACGAGATATAACGTGCGCGGGCATGATGTTCAACGGTCGCTGTTTAACAACAAACATCAGCACGTATTTACACAGCCAACGCTGCGATGATTGAAAAAGAATATGGTTTCAAGCTTTTTCCATGGCTTTTCCTCAAAGTGTCATTTCACCTGTTTGTGTATATTGATTTACCAGCATGGCCAGCATGGCGAAATGTTTTGATTTTATTATTTGGAAGTATTGCTGGAGCTAGTGATTAAGGGGGGAGTGATTAAGAAGGATTAGCCAGCTATGAAGACATACATTCTCAAGGCAGTATTGTCGATGAATAAAACTCAATTATAGCTGATTATCATAATTTCTCATTTTTCAAAGAGTTTGCATCATTTATCAAATTTGTCAACTTATTTTCCATAACCTATGCTGTCCAAACTCCTAAAACATATCTTTGAAATATTTTTAAGAGGAAATTTCCAAAAGGCTGTGCCAGGTATGTGATACATGCTTCTAACTAGCAAGGCATTCATATTTTTGACTCTGCTGCAGAAAGACATAGCCCCCTGTATAATGCAGAAGGCTGTACATGAAGCTACCCAAAGTCCATTGTTTTCTGAAGCAATAAATAACACCTGAAGAGGGTTGTGGATCACTAATAGCATCGACGAATTTTGTATAAACGATTGTAGGCCTCAGAATGTTCCCGAAAATTGTTGCTTCCTTTCTACTCCTTTTTGGAATAGGTAAGAGTGAAGGAACACAACATGTTTCTAATAATATTTTAAACATTATGAGTGATTTGAAACTAGATATTAATCGAATTAATTTGACGGCTGATATTAATCTAAATTCAGATATATTTTCTGCCAAACGTACTCACTGTGGTGGGCAAGAGATATGACAGAATTTTTATAATAAAATTTAAAGCAATTTCATCTCTATGTTTCCACTCACCGAATGTATAGTCAAATTACTTTTTTGTTGAGGTGTTCTCTATATACTATATAGCATATTGTTGAGATTTGTTCGTCTTAAAGTTTGACTTTATTGTCTGGTTTTTTTAGCTTCTGCTGTGCACCAGTTTTCTGACCTGCGTAAGGCATTCGATTCTGATTATACATCTGCGTATGTTGAAAAAGATGTGATTGGTAAAGGTTAGTCTTTTCTTTATTTATTTCTCTTATTTGTGGACAGATATATTAAGTTCATTGTAGGACTGGTTTTAAATTTTGTCGCTCTTCTAAACTAATTAGATTTTCTATGGATGAAAACCTTTATTGAAGATAATGTGTGTTTATAACCTCAGGTTGTGCAAAACTTTTGCTCACTGAGTGTAAAGCATATGGAACTCTTTCAAAAGAATCGTTTTCGCATAATCTTTCCCCTCCATTGAAGCTGAAATACCTCAGACAATGCAGAGGTGATAAAAACCTGCAGCGAACATGAAATCAGCAGTATCGCGTTCTATTGCACAGAATGGTTGAAAGCTATTAAGACAATCATTTTGGCTACAAAACAGCCTGAGAGTTAAGTTGTGGTGTGTTCGCACACGTTTAGGTGAAGCCTTGTAAGATTTTTGAATTTTAATGCTCTTCTGTTATACTTCGCGGCGGTATACGAGTTCATATAATCATGAAAATTTTAACACCCCATGCCTGGCTCGACATTTTATAAAATATTCTTTAAATTATGTTATATTTTGAATCCAGAGCTCGAGTCAGTTGTGAAGGATGTGTACAGAAACTTTTTAAAAAGTACCAGCCTTGCCCAGAAGGAAAGAATTGATAGTTACTTTGCTCAGTGGAAAAGAGTTGCTGACATAAATGGACCATTTGAAAATAAGGAAAAGCAGTCAAGTGCCCTCCAAGAAATTATGAATCCTTCAGATTTCCATGTAAGTTTCTTTCCTGAATAAGCTTAAATAGATTCTGAAAGATTTTTGAACGGAAGTTTTTCTACCCGAGCCTAGTAAATTTAGTAGAATCAACTGTGTTGTTTCTTGCACCGTTTTTTTGTAATTGAGTGGCATAAAGGAGGTGCAATGCTTTGGCCCTAGTAACTGCTTTCAGAAATTTCCCTTGGCTAAACTGACACTTCGTGATTAAAGTCACCAGCACTTTTCGATATCCAAAAAACCAAACGAACCTCCATTTGTAGCATCGTTTCAGAGTAACTTGATGTGTAGCTAGATTGTCTCTGGAAAACAGTTTTTTATACGAATATATTCAAGTTTGGGCTGGAAAGCCATAATCAGGTTATAATTCATTAAGCAGTCCTAATGACAACGATGCGATCTGAAATCTGAAAGTTTTCCAATCACGAAAACGTTCCAAAATTTTCCAAGCAGCAATTTCGACAGGTATCATGTTAGTACAGACTTCTTCTCACCTGGTTGTTGTAGAATATTTTGACATAGAACCCTTAGACCACTTTGAATTTGATGCAAAGAATTTGTTTTCTTCTTTGACTGTTCAAACAGGTGTTTTAAATCCTCCAAAATAGTCCTACTTTCGTACACTTCCTGGTGCAGCAGTATTTATCCACTAGGAGTATCTGCAAAATAGATTCTAGGAGTATCTGCTGAAAAATTTCATCTGTCTTTATCTTGATGTTTTCTACCCAACAAAATGTAAAGTGATATGAGCAAAAGCTGATAAAAAGCTGGTACATTGCTTTTTTAAGCAGATACAAAGTTTTTTATGAAAGCGTGAAGATGTAAAGTTTTTATTCATATGTAACTGTAAGGATGTTTTGCTGGTATCTTTTATGAAGTATTACCTTCGCACTTTCTAAATGGTATGTTCTTTACTATTATAGGCGTCATTGGGCGTTGAACAGCTACTACAGAACAGAGATGACAGCGAGCAAACAATCGAAATATTCAAGGAAACAATGATTTCACCTGATACTATGAAGCTGCAGCTTTATTTCACGGGAGATAATGACATCATCAATGGTGTTGTAGCTGCCAGCTTGAAGAACAATGGTGATCTTTATGTTGTCACTTCGATTTTTGACTAATCCACAACAAAACTAATTCACAAAAATCATTTTCAGATTATCGTTTTTTCTCACCACATGATGCATCATTTCGATAAAACTGTGAGACATTCCTATGCCTTAAATTTTATGTTTTTCCTTCACCAATTTTCTTCATAATGTTACACTGAAAGCCTCATTTTCCCTGCTTACAATTCACAATAATTAAAAATGCACCTTTCTCAGCTATTACAAATAGGCGAGGAATTATATAATAGGTTCAAATCGACAGTTCTGGAATCGACACAGCTGCAGGTGGGCCATGATCTCCACTTTTTGAATTATCTTTTTCGAGTCTTTAATTTGCACTTGCTTCCCTCTATGTTCAACTTATATCGGCGCCTGCTGGCTAGGGCACGCACTTTCTAGTTATAAAATCGTTTTTGTAAGGCGAGTTGATATTTTTGGAGACATCTGTTCCATTGACACGATACATCTCATTTACAAACTCTATGTAGGCATCGGCTTTAGAGAGGAAAGCCAATAACATTAGGAATCCATATGGACGTTAAACAATCGCATATCTTTTCAAATAACAAAAATGTACTTCAAATTTGACAACCGTGAATGTTTAGGGGGAGGGAGGGGTATCCAAGTAGATTTATCAGTTGCCTAGTAAACCGTTGTCTGATGACCTGTTTCTAGATTTTTATATTGAAGCGTGAAACTCGCAATAGCCACTTAAAAACATCCTACTCTGTACACCTCTGCCTATACGGCATCGAGCGCTCTATGACATACCGATGAACATTAATTGTCATTACAAGATACTTCGTACCATTAATAAGTACCCCACATGGAGTTTTCAGCACTTAGGGGTGAATGGGCAGAAGAAAGAGGAATCGAAATATTTGAACTGAGCGGCAGAACAATGCACCCCTTTCCAACGATACCTTTCAACGAGTGGTCAATTTACTGTATTTCTCAGTCAAGTTAATCCATAGGACGCGATTATTATTTCTCACTTTTGTGATCGTAATCTGAATCTCATGCATATGAGGAAGAAAAATTAGGGTGCAATGGTATATTATGTTTCGAAAAATTTTAGTTTATTGGAAAGGTGAGAGTAAGTTGTCAAGAAACCCATCTAAGTAGAGTGTTGGTTGACTGTGAGGCAAGGACTGCAGAGCATGTTACAGATTGAAGGGGCAAACATACATAAAGCCAAAAACAATCCAATTTTTGCATGTTTTAAGTATTTTTTGCAAATATCAATCCAATTTTATAGCATTAAAAGCAACTATTGATGTTTCTTGGCAATTTAATTTCTGTTAAATATAGTTTGATAAATTGAAATTTATTCACGTCTTATGGTGACTTTTTGGTTTTTCTGGGGTTGGGTAGACTCCAATAGCATAGTCAATGTTTTTGTTCATCGTAGCAACGCTCATGTAAATCTTTTGCAAGGCAATGACTACTAATCTACATTTAAAAGCAGATAAAAAGGGGTCTGACTTGATCTCATGTTTGTATTCCAAACTTTTGATCCACGAAATGAAGATGCTTTTTGACCATTTCTTGTTTTCATAAGTGAGGGGACCAAGTCACCTTTAGAATTGTTCAAATCTAGAATCTTTCGAGTTTAATTCTCTTGAATTATTTCGAATTGATTTGAAAGGTCAGTGTTCAAGGACTGAATACATTTTTATCATTCAAGATGTGTATGGTGGTTTTATTTTTTGGTATAATTTTTTAAATGTTGGTTGCAGTCTGAGAGGCAACTCAATAACCAAATTTATTTGCCTCTCACCCCAACAAGTTAATTTAATTGTCATTGTGATAGTATTGTATATAAGTCATTATAAAAAGGTAATCTAGAGCGACGTCTGCCTCTAGATGGATTGTGTTTTGGACGGATTTTTTTTCGAATTTTTGAATTTAGATCACAGCCAGAATAAGTACCATGGAATAAAGACTGAATAAAACATAGTAACTGTTGGATGAAACAAGGCCATTGTCTCGTTAGTTTACCTACTTCTAGTTGTCTTGCATTGTCATATTTTCCTTTTGTAATAGAAGTGTTATGATATGATATGATATGAGCTTGCTTTGTCTAGATGCTTATAAAACTATTTTATGGCCTAGTTGTATGTTTTCTATTCAACCAACGAAGATGGTGGGCTGTTTGTGGCTGTTTTTCACAAGCTCTTGTCAAAATGCAAGAAGGTTTCGCAATCATATCGACATTTTATGTCAGTAGGTAAATAAAGATTTCATTACAAATTTGTTAACGTCTTGCAAATTTATCTGGAAGCTGCCAATAACTATCAAAATTAAACTCAATACCTTAGAATAACATATTTTGAAAGGTGTTCTGGGAAGTGGGTGGGAATGTGTTCTTGTTGCCTCGCTTTGAGGAACTACTTTCTCTGCCCCCAAAATGGCAGCCACATTGAGAAAACGCGTTGGGAAAGATTTGCACGACAGCTATTCTGATTCACTAGATGATGGTAAAGAAAATGCTGTGAAAGCTCTTGGCAATGAAAAACGTATATCGCTAGCGGAATTCGCTTTTCTGTGCCTTTGTATTACATTGCTCGTCGCACTTGCATGTCTGCCGCATTTCCATCTGCCTAGGCCCAAAACTGTGAAAGAATCTAAGGAGACTGATTTTACTGCTGAGAAGGCACGGACATATTTAGAAGGTCTAACAAAGCTTGGAGCACGAACAGTTGGCAGTTATGCAAATGATGTACAAGCTGTTGATTATCTCATGAAAGAAATTTATAATATTATAGCGCACACACAGGTATATTATCATGTTCACGTTGATGTGCAAACAGCATCAGGCGGATTTATGTTGAATTTTTTGCACAAAGACTTTGCTGTCGCTTACGAAAACATAACAAACATAATTGTCCACATACACCCGAAAAGCAGTAAAGCAACAGACCCAAACGTTCTTCTGAATAGTCACTTTGATACACAACCTAGAACTGAGGGTGCAAGTGATGATGCTGTTAGTTGTGCCATGATGCTAGAGATAATGAGGGCTATCTCAAGGTCACCACCAAGAACTATAAAGAATGGCATTGTGTTTCTTTTCAATGGTGCTGAAGAAGGGATACTTGAAGGTAGCCATGCTTTTGTAACAAAGCATAAGCTTGCTTCTACAATAAAGGCATTTGTTAACTTGGAAGCTGCAGGCTCAGGTGGGAGGGAAATTGTCTTTCAAACTGGACCAGGACATCCATGGCTTATTCATACATATGCCTCATCTTCTCAGTATCCCTATGCATCAATAGTGGGACAAGAGATATTCCAATCTGGAATAATCCCATCTGATACGGATTTTAGAATTTTTCGAGATTATGGAAACTTGGTTGGTATTGACATTGCCTATGCTTCAAACGGCTATGTCTATCACACCCGTCATGATAATTCCTCTATTATTCCAGACGGTTCAATTCAAAGAGGAGGAGAGAATGTACTTGCAGTTATAAAAGCTCTGTCAAAATCACCCTATTTGACTCATGAAGAAAACTTTAAACATGGAAGAACAGCATATTTTGATTTCCTAGGAGCATATATGATTTTGATTCCAGAAAGCTTTTTAACTTTGGTGAGCATTGGCTCAATAGGTTTTTCACTTCTTTACATACTGGCAGCTTTGCTAGAAAAAAACACAGTGCAAGACAAATTTCCTAAAAATGTGACTTTTCTTTCATTCATCATAGCTATAGTCACAATTGTTTGCTCATGGACAAGTGCCATATTTGTATCTGCTCTTGATGCAGTTATTTTGACAAAATTAGGATGCTCTTTGTCATGGTACAGTCATCCTTGGTTTGCACTTGTTCTATATGGATCACCAGCATTGGCAACTATATTGTTAGTACATATTGGTGTTAGAAAGATTGCAAAAAAATTTGGCATATCATTTGGAGAAGATGAGCACGAGCCAGAAATATATGAAAACAATTGCATATTGGCACATATCCTGTTGGTATCAATAGTGGTTGCTTTGATGACTTACAAGGGAATTCTTTCATCATTTTTGGTTGTAACATACCTGGTTTTTCCACTTATCTTCCACTGTTGCATCAGACCCTGGATGCATAAGAATGGCCAAAATGATGAATTTTACACTAAAAAATTACTTCTTATCCATATTCTTGCTGTTTCATTTCCAATTGTCCTTTTTACCTATCATTTGTTTTCATTATTTGATGTATTCATCCCTATTATGGGAAGGCAAGGCTCTGAGATCCCACCAGATTTAGTTTTTGCTGTTTTATCTTCATTTGTTGTTATCATCATTACACTTTACCTTACATCACTTACTCACTTAGCTCAGAGGGCAGTTTTGATTGGGAAGATTGCTGGTTTTATTGCTTTTGTTTCCTTTCTCTTTGCTTTGCTGGGAATTATGTTTCCATATTCAGGAAGTCATCCGGTTTCACCAAAGAGGATATTTCTTCAACATGTGGTTCGTAATTTTCACAACAAAGATGGTTTGGTCTATAAGAATGACTCTGGTATATGGTTTGCACCTTTAGATTATCTAGGTTTGAAGCCAGTGATGCATCTACCCAGCTTGAAGGATGTTGCCAGTGCGGAATGTGATGGCCCATATTGCGGCTATCCTTATATCTTCCCCATGAGAAGACTCTTGAAGAAAACATGGTATTTGAAAGGACCACCTCCATTCAAAACAAGCAAAAAATTGTCCAGTTTCAGGATAATCAAACAGGAAACCCTTGAAAATGGCAATGTTAAATTTCAAATAAGAATCAAAGGGCCAGACCACATGACATTGCTTGTAACTCCAAATGAGGGTAACAAACTGGTGCACTGGTCAGTAACAGATGAACCACCTTCAGGGCAACAAGACTATGATGGCAGGATGACATTCTACACATACTATGCACATGGTTTTCATGCAAAACCTTGGGATTTCTGGCTTGAATTTGAAGTCAGTGGAGAAAGAGACGATGAGAGCATTGCTGATGTTGCTGTTGCAGGACACTATTTGCATGGTCCCCTGTCAACTACAAAATGGATGCAGAAGATTGTAAGAGAATTTCCTTCATGGGTTGTTGATGTTGCCTTTGTTAGTTCTTATGATGTGTGGAGAATTTGATCATGTCCTTTTTGCTTTATTAAGCTATGATTTTATCTCTACCCTTTTTTGAAATTTTAAATCTTGTTGTATCCAAATTTTGCAACCATTTTCAAGTTGCTTATCCCAAACATAAAGATGAAAATTGTAGAAGATATAAATTTGTGTCTGTCATAGAAGCTATAAAGCTTTTCTTCCTTTTTCTCTAAGAGCTTTGTTGGGTTGTCATTTCTAATTGGTTTGTTTTTGTCAGAAAGTGTTAAGTATGTGTCATGTAACCCACAGTTCATGCACCAAGGAAAAATGTTTGGATATTTAATTGAATTTTAAATAGCCAATTTTTTGCAATTTCCTTTCATTTCCTTCATGGTTTAAAGTTGCTACCATCAACTGTTCTCAAAATATTATCAAAGAAAAAAAGTTGTACAATAAAACTTCCATCTCACGAAACCCTTTTTCAATGAGGCCCACTGTACAACCTCAATAACCAACCTGTCAAGCTTTCATGTTATATATATGTAAATGTGACAAAGATCTTTGAGCCAGGTATTCCAAGAACAGAGGATTTCAACTTTTATTTGACTTACATTTGTTTATTTAGTTTGATTTTACTGTTTAATTTGAAGTTGATTGTTTGCTGTTCTTTGCTGAGCATAGTTGACCTTTTCAGAAAAAACATTTTCTCTTGTTGCCTTTCCTTGAAAAAACAAAATGAAATATAATCAGTACAGTTTTTGTTGATGTCACCATCCTAGTTTTTCTAGATAATAAAAAATGAATCTGAGATAGGCATTACAGACTATGATTAATGCCTAACCGTTTGTAGATATTTGTATGTTGCTTGAAACTGTGGACAATTTATTTGGTTTTTATATGGGTAATTATATACTTAAGAGATCATTATTGAAAAATCCATTTATAGAAAATGATTCCCCTTTTTATAGTTTTCCATATCTCATATCTACATTATTGGCCAGAGCAAGTTTTTATGAAAAGGCTTTATTATGTTCAGCAAAAATAGCAATTAAATAATATTTTCGTGTTCATGATTTGCGTATCAAAGGTTTCAATATGTTTTACATCCTGATGCGAATTGAAAGTAGTTACAGCTAAACAGATGCTAATATTTTCAATGTTATACAAAACTTCTTACTGATTGTATCTTGAATATTATTCACGCAAGTATAGTAATATCTGAGCAATATATTGATATCTATATTTTAATAAGGATGATGATTATCTGCAGTTTGTTATTTACACGAATCAAGCAATAGTGTGTGGTTGTCAACTCTTTTGTCTACATCTTTGTCACAGTTTTCTTGTATTTGAAGATGGCACAAAATAGCGGAAACATAGCGTACTGGAGTACATTTTCTTCCGACCATCTGCAGAACAAGTACGTTGGGTAACGACCCAAGGTATTTTATGTTTCCGCTGTTTCGTGTCATCTTCCAATTTTGTGGTACCAAAAACGTATTTAGGTTTTCTTATATTCAGAGCATGATTCGTATCTTAAGGAAGCTCATGCAAGGCTTAACTTAGATGAGGAGAATGCTAAGATTTGACCAGCTGTTTAAATCCAGCACATTATCTCTAACGGGACGTCTTGAAAACATGGTGCGTGAGCTTATAAATCCTGAAAAATTGGTTCGGCTAATAAGAACTTTTTTACCCACAAATGATGATGGGTAATGATGAAATTGTTTGATGAATCTATTTTGGAGCCTCTCTGCCTGATATATCGAAAATTCTAGAAACTGGAGTATACCAAACTGCTTGACAAAAATAAAACTTAGTACCTATTCATTACAACTGTAAAGAAAATTAGACAGCTTTAAAAAACTTGCAGACCATTATTATTTTTCAATAATATTTGGGAAACGAAATAGGTCATTTTAACATTTATCTTCGATGCCATTGACGGTCATTTTGTTTGATGATAGGCACTTGGTCGAGAACAAATATAGTTTTCGACGAAGCGGCTCAACCATAAATCAAGCAGTTCTCCAGCGGCAAACGGTATCATTGGTTGTACCCCAAGGATCCGTACTTGGGTCCCCTACTTTCTCTAATATATGTGAATGACATAACCGACGACCTTATTAACTGTGATGTTAGGGTGTTAGACTCTTTTCTGATGACAATCTCTTCTTTCCACAATAAATAATGCACCTCAAAATGCTTTAAGTGAAAACTTAGATAAGATCAAAACGTGGGCTTGACAGTAGAAGATGGAGTTTAATGTCGATAAAACAGAACAAAATTATCATCTCTACAAAAAGACAGCAACCATGCCATCCACCCATCCTTTTTCTTGGGTAAAATTTAATGCAAATTTAGCTTCTATGTATTTTAACATAAGCTCCAATCTTAGAGCTGCTAAATTTAGCTTAGATTTCGCCCTTAAAAGTTTTATTGACAGACAACACAAATACATACAAGAATATACCAACAATAATTGGTAATAAACTACTTTAATACTTGAAGCAATAATGAAATTCTATAGCTCTGTAATCTCAGAGCTTTCTTCGAAATTGGACTTGCAATTTGCTGTATTAAAGAAATCCTTGGCGAAATTTTGTCATGATGGTATTTTGAAAAAATTTTCACGACGAAATTTTATAGATATTGAACGCCGATTGTAGGCTACCTTCTCATGAAATCGAGGCACATGGCCTAACCTGTGGCCTAACTGTCTTGTTGTTTCTATCCAAGGATGGAGACTTTAACTCCAATAATTCGATGGGCAGACGCAAAAACAAAGATTTTCTTGAAAGCTGAGCTCAGTGATGTAAAGGTATTCTAGTTTTGCAAGCTTCTCTAATGCGATCTATTTTTCGGAACCTTTTTATTTTTTAAGAGTGCTGAAAGTGTGCAGTGTGTGTGCACACTGTTCAGTTTTGATCCAATGTGTGCAGCAAGTTTCTAATGAGCAAAGTATTTGTCTCACAAATTATTTCTGCAAAATAAGCGCTTTTAAGCATTCCAAAAAATTTTGACTTTTTTTATATTTTGACAAAAAATTTTAAAATCTAGCATGGGGTCAATCATATATTTTGTATGGTTAAAATTCAATATTAAGGTGGGTAACTTCCAGGTGGGCTTGCAGAATTGAAATGTACCCCCCTAAAAGTTCACTCAGTCAGTTGATTTTAACCTAATTCAGTCAACAGAATAATCCATAAAATTGTAAATCATGCTCGAGCACAAGTCAGATACTGTAGTTTCCCACAAAATCCTACTTTCTTTGATTCAGACCTTTTTATGTCCCTTGTTAGTAATCGGCAAGGCCTCTTCTTACTAGCCCTCACTTAGGAAATTGAGAATTTATACCTAAGACTGTAGTTTCTCAGATAATTGGAATATATGCTAGTCAGTAGATTTCAATTCTGGGCATCAATGGATTTAGGGCAAGCATAGGTCATTTCAAAATATCAAATCAAAATACTGAGATATGAGATGATTCCAGGGCCTCTGTGGTAATCACACAGTGTGGCCCTCAAAACTTTTCCTTGGGAATTACCCCCAGACCCCCCCCCCTTCTTCTAACTTCATATGGCTTTGAGATTTCATTGAGCAAGCCTGAAAAGCTGTGCCTCATATTCCATTCAATACATTTGCATGCCAGATATTTTCAAATCAGGATGATAGTAGCATATAAAGAAACTCAATCTGCTCACAAAATGCATATTGCAAAACAGGTGCATACATATTCTCTAATTTAGTAATAGACAGTAATGTTTTCTAATTTAGTTATAATCAAAGTTGTTTTATGATTACTAAAGTTCCAATTCATCAGCATTTTAGGATTTCACCTAAAAATGTTGTTTAGACTAAGATAGGAAAGCAATGTTTCAAACAAGGTGGTCTTTGAAAATTTTCCAGTACCCAGAAAAATGTTTGTGCATCCCTACGTTTTTGTGTGCATTAGACAAGCTTTTGAAAATATCTTGTGTGTGCACATGCCACACTCTGAAGCCTAGTTAAGTGGAATTAGAAAGCAAATTCCAGAAACAACTTATTTTCTAACTAACTATTGTCACCTCGACAAATTTCAAGCAGTACAAGCAAGTTTTTTAATCTTGCGATGAATCTGGTGCTGAATGGTATGTGGTATCAACAGTAGGGCGATGCTAAAAGTCTTTTAAACAGTATGAAGCAATTATCTGCTCCATGCTTTTTTATCTTCATATTTGCCAACAATGGATCACAGAATCGAAATCTTCATGTTCAAATTAGTCTGTGTTGTAGTCAAATTAGTAGTCAAATTAGAAAATTTCATGTTGTTTGGGCCGTTTGGCAGCGAATTATCCCTTTTTCAAAATTAGTTTTCCCTTTAAATTTTAATGGAATTTGTTTGTCACTACAGCAGCAAATTCTGGTCAGATCTAAAGAAATATCTAATTATTCAAAACAAAGTAACTCGTGACCAAACGGTCCAAACAGCATGAAGTTCTCAATATAAACTAATTTCAAGATGAAAATTTCAAATCTGAAGTCCATTTTTGAAAAAAGGTCTGTAGATAGCGAGATGCAGAATTGATTATATCAACCTGGAATGTTGAATGATATATAACTCATTACCCAATTCATTAAGGCAATGTAGCAATAAAAATTCCATTAAAAATAAATGTAAATATTTTCTTATGGACAGAATAAATTTGGACAGAATTAGTATAGATGTATTTAACTATGGTCAATGTGGGGAAAAATGCGCACAGCGATTTTGGGGGTAAAAATGGGCACCTGTTTCAACAGCGCTGTGGAAGAGTAACCAACAGTTTGCGATATATCATCATAAACCAAACCTTTGATGATAGTTTCAATTAATACCAAATTTAAATATAGTTTGCTTTTGTTTTTCACTATGTATTTGAAAAGCGGAAGCTCCAGTTTATGATGATATCAAGTTTCCCATGACAACCATAAACTTTTCAATTTCTCAGCTCATTGACTGCATCAGATTTTAACCTTAGATATTCATAAGTGTGGGAAAAGTGTGCATAAAATTGTGGTTTTCTTTAGAAAAGAGACTGTGTCTGTTCTTATAATAAGTCCTGCATGCAAGACTGAGTTGAAATTCCACAACCACTTGAATTTGGGAAGACTTTAAATAAATTTCTGTTCTTAAAACCCAGTTTTTTATGAGACTCCGACTTTTAAGAGCAACATTAGAGCGATCCAATTTTCCCTTGTTGAGGTTTTTTTAAAGGCTCCAGGTCCTTTTCCATCATCATCATGTCAAATATGCAATTACTAAAGCCAAGAACTTTCATTTGTAAAAGATCTTGAAATCAGTCAGTGGTGGTACCAGAAATTAGCAGAAAAAGTGGTTTGACCTGCTTACAAATGAGGGAGGAAGGTTAAAATGTCTTAAGATTGCAAAGATGAGTTCTATCTTTAACCTAGCAAGGGCTGTAGATATGTTGGCTAAAGCTCTCTGATACCACCCTGTAATAGACTCATGTTTGAGCAGCCGTGGACCTCTTCACCATCTTTAGCCACTCAACTCGATATTGCGCTTTCTTTTCCACTTGTCCCTTCGTCAGCCCGCAAATATCTTTGATGTTGTCGCTCAGTCTTGTCCTTGGTTTTCCTCTTTCTCTGTTTCCTAGGACCATCCCTGTCAGCAAGTTCTTCTCAAATGTATCGCTTCTCATCACGTGACCTATGAACTTTAATTTCCTTTGGTTCAGGATGTCCAGCAGTCGGTCTTTACAATTAATTCTTCCCAGCACTTCATCATCATTTTCTTTTCTGTCCAGCTAATACGCAGTACACGTCTGTAACACCACAGTTCAAAACTATTGATTCTTTTCATGTCATTTTTCTTCAGGACCCAACACTCAGAACCATATGATGCAATTGGGAAGATTAGCGAGTTTAATAACCTCATGTCTTTAACATAATACTCAGGTCTTTCCAGATGTTATTAAGTGCAACTGTGGCGTTTTCGGCAATAACAATTCTTCTTTTAATTTCCCATGAATCATCATAAGTGTTTGTAAAAACAGCTCCAAGATAAATGAACTCCTTCACATTTTGCACAGCCACTCCATTAATTGTAGCATGTTCTTCGTCACTCAATGCCGGATGCCTTCATTCAATGTCAAAGCCAACAGTGTAATATTTGTATCATCATCATACATCATGCTGCAACATTCATACACCAAACTGCCTGTTCACCCCCTGCAATCAAATTGGTTTTTTTCTAAGCCATTATTTTATTATAAATCTAGCAAAAATTCTTCAAAACACACCATCTATACATGGTGCTAACAACGTTCTTGGTCCAAGGCAAAAACATAGCAAAATCATTATGTTACTGTCAGGGGCTCTTTATTTTATAATGGCAAATTGTATAATGCCATTCCTACCACTGATTAATATGTTAACAAATCAGTGATATTGAGATTTTTAGAATTATATAAGTTATTTTAGGAAAAACGTCAACCACGACTTAATTCCTTTAATTTTTTTGTAAATTAAACCGTTTAGCTATTGGTGAAAACCTTCTCCTTGTTATGCTTGACGTCATTTTGCATTGGAAAAGAAAAATATTTTCATTGTAATGATAATATATCTTTATTGCCTTGCAGGAACCAATCATAGATATAAGTGATGAGAATATTTCTTTTAAATGTAAGTCTTTAATACTTTTTCTTTTTACTGGACATTATTAGTTAATTGTATTTCAGCTTATTTCAATACCTTTTGATGTTTTGCTTCATTTTCTTTTCTTGGATAAACTATTCACCTTAAGATTTATTAATTACCATCCCCGCAGTGACATCCTGAAAGTAATTCATTTTCAAAACAAAACTATCTGTTCACTGCAATATGGATGCAGTCACATTGCAGTTATTTTGATCATATTGTATGACACAAGGACACATCATTTTGTAGGCTTTGGCTTTGGTGCAAGGGGAGAGAATTATTATGATGTTTCATTGGATCTTTTTGGCAAAATAGATTTGGAGGTTTGCGAGCCTGTTTTATACAGACTTTGTTTTCATACTTTACTACCTCCCACATGCATTGCCACTGACAGCCTAATTGCTGGCCCTAGGTCGGCTTTAGGTCCTCATTCAGTCTAGCTGTACTGATGAGCCCCGATATGGGGCGAGACCGGTCTACAGCCGACTGTTTGAGGTGTCAGTGACCTCCTTTCTTTTACACTATTCCTGCAACTCTGTGGGATGGCATACAGTCCACCAAAACCTCAGCACTGCTTTGCGGTGTGGTTCTTGGTGATATTGCTCAAAGAGACTGTTGAGTCTCTGAGACTGATGCATTCTTCTTTTCACCCATTGTTTTCATAGGTTTGAAAGAATCTTTCATTACTGCCCTGACCATTCTTAAATTGAATGATATTCATGTAACAGTGCAATCACTTCCCTGGAAAGAAGCACCAGCAGTTTTACTGAAGAATCAGTAACAAGGAGAATTTCGCAGAATAAACTAACAGATCGAAAGCATCATAATACATACGTTTAGATTTTGTAGTAAAAAATCGTGATCCCTAACTGCATGTTAAATAAGTGGAATTTATCTTAAACTATTCATTTGTATTCCCTCAAATGATCTTGTATTGTTCTTTTTACTTTGTTCATTACCGAAATTAACCTTGCTAATTGCTTGATAGCTTATTTTACACCAACGTCTACAAAAACATTTTGCAAATGAAGTTGGACTTCCTCATTTTGTTTTAGTGGATAACATAAGTATTTATACATCCCTTCATTCATTACCAATTTTCTTTTAACATGCAGAAGAGCACACACAACGTTACAGATAGATGCATGACATTTTCACTAGCAAAGGTTGGCAAAGGTACCTCACTAAACTGATTTTGTTACACAATATTCGTCAGTCTTTTCCTAAGACATGCAACGTAGTTCGTGTGCTTCATTACATTGGCAGCATTTGAATAGAATGCCTGTTCATGGGCGGCGCCAGAGGGGGAGGGGAGCTTAGGGGCTTCAGCCCCCCTTTTTTACAGAAAGTGTTCTTAAGAAAATGAAAAGTATGAAAGAGAAGCAATGGAAGAAAAAACTAATGTGATAAATCCTGTTATTGCTTAATTTTCAAGGAATAAGAAGTCTATGGGGCCTTTATAAAGTAATGAATTCCGTTTTAAGACTGGAATTAATCAAACGTACTAAAAGCATGCCTTGAAAATAGCAAAATGTTTTAAACGATTGTAAGAAAGTGACTGCAAAAAATATTCTGAAATGTATTTTAAGCTTATCTAAAGAATGTGGCCGCAAAGAATATTCTGCTCGCTTCGCTCGCAGGGAAGCCTCTTCTTTAAGAAATACCTAGTGCCTCCGAAAACTTCTCCCCCATAAAATATCGTGAAGCATTTAAGTGCGCTTTAAAAAAATAGTTCTTTAGTCTAATAAAGCTATCCACTCAAGCCCTCCCCCCCCCCTCCACTTTGAATTTCTTGGCGCGGCCCTTTTGTTTAAAATCATACAAAAAGCAAGCACCCCTTGTCATAAATTAAGAAAACATGATTTAGTGCCAACCAAAACAATAATGCACTGCGTACCTAAATTTTGATGTTTATGTCGTTTATATATTTATTAATGCTAACACAACACCATTACTTGTTTATCTTGAGTAGAATAAAACGTCTGTATTATAAGTTTTTGATCAAAGGAAACCTGAGAGAGCAGATCTGATTAGAACCCCTTACCTCTTTTAGCCAAACAGACATCTCCATGATAAAATATTTAACCCTCTGGTTGTAAATTCTTTCTTGTATATGCTTCCATAAATCTGAGAAATTTTTGGCTCGAACTAGCCTCCAACTTCAGTCCTACAAATTTGATTAAAAGCACCGAATTTTTTATCTACTGTTGCTCATCTTTGCAGACAGCTGGCCACGTCTCCTGAAAAACCAGCAGAAACCAGAATGGCTGAAGGTTGATTTCGATAAAATGGTAGTTGATGATTCAGAAACAGAGGAAGTGGATCCTAAATTAAAGGTAATTTCAACATAACATGGAAATGGATGGTAGTGTCTCAAAATAAAGTCGCTTTTGCCTTTTCTGTACGCATAGAAAATATGAATTAGCTGCCAAGACAGCAGTTTCGTTGAAAACGCTGGTTTCTAGCACCGCAAATATTGAAAATCAAACTTTTTATCTTCATTCTTCGTGAGATTTTGAGCCATTCAATATAAAGTCTAGACAGTTAACGATGCAATTGCTATTTAAAATGCGTCTGTATTGCAATTTTCAACCCCATATTCTGATTATTTACCTATACTTTGCCTATTTTCCATTTTAGAACATCACTTTTGAGAATAGGATGAAAAGTGATATAGAACGAGCGGAGGAAGAAAGTAAGTCCTACAGAATTCTGAATGTTCTTTTGCAATGTGAAAAGAATTCTACCGTTTTGAAACTCACGAGGAAGAGTTCAAAAAGTTAGAATTTATCGTGTTTATTCAAAACACGAGTTAAGGTATAAAAAGTTAGAAAAACGTGCTAGAAAAAACTGCTCGTTTTGTGTAAGTGTCGTATATATTTCCCAGGTAAAACTGCAAATTACTTGATAAATCAGGCTTATTGTTAAATTATAAAATGTAAATTAAACATCTTTTGTTATTATGAAGGACCGTGTTTGCAAAGGTGATGTTCCAATATTCTTTGAATTTGCATAGATATTTTGTCTATCAATAGGCCAACTGAATTTTGGAAATTGTCTTCGATTGTGTAGGTAATGAATTGAATTTATTCGATTGTGCAACATTTTTCATGCCTGTTTTTTTTCCTGATTTTGATTTCTAATCACTGAAACCTTTCATTCTTTTCCAGTCAGTGTGTTTCTAAAAATAGCTTATCTTGCAATTTACAATAGTGGACAGGGAATCGCCTTCTGGGTTATCGTTGGGAAGCTCCTGCATAGTTTATATGCGCAAGGTCATGGTGAGTTTATAGGATACTAACAAAGGTCTTCCAATGCTTTTTGCGTACTGTTATAAATAAGAAATAGAAAATATCAAGCTTAATATAATATTCGTTATCTTAGTAATCTTTCCCTAAGTTTATAAGTTACCTTTTCAAGGCATTATATTTTGTCGCATGGTGGTATTACTGCTTCATTATGATTGGAAGTTTAGAAACTGTTCCTCAATTAGAAGATTAGATGCCAAATTCTGTTTCTGACACCCTTAAGTATATTTATAGAACAAAATTGTGGTAAACGATTTTAATACGATTAAAACACATTCTCCAAGATACTTGTCGTTAATTAAAATCCTCTCATTTTAAGGAACTTCAGTCAAAGATTTTACGATTGCATCACTGTTATGTCTCTGTTTATGTTTCAGCTGGTTTCTACTCGGCCTACGACAATGTCAGCGATCTTTTTCTTACATGCCAACTATGTGCTTGCCTGGAAATTCTTAACCCCATGTTCCGCATTGTAAACACCGGAGTCGTTGCTCCATTGATTCAGGTGATATTTATTTATCTAATTTCTTTTCTGTAAAAATCCTCAACGCTTAAATTCTGTTTTATGCAATTTTTCATTTTGTTTGTATGTTTCATTATATTTTTCATTTATAATCTAGATCATTTTGTCTTGTACTTTTGATCCCTCATAATGCTACCCCCATATCTAAATCTTTATTTTCTCAGCCTAATTTTCACATTTTCTTGATGTCAAGTTAAAAGCGACGATTTTGACGATTTTGTATTTTGTGTTTACTTATTTATTCAGAAGGTATCTAAGTACATTTATTCAAATAACATAAGTCTAGTATGTACACGATATATCTTTTGCGTTTGATCTGTTTAAAGCATTTCTGTTTATAAAATAAAGAAGCATGTTGAACCCTGATTCTGTTTTTTTTCAGGTTGGAGGTAGAAACTTTATTCTGTTTGTCCTTATTTTGCCAAATAAAGAACTTCACACAAGTGGAATCGTTTATGTTCTGTTTATGGCTTGGGCAGCTATTGAAATGGTCAGGTAAATGCCTCTTTAGATAATAATTTTTAGTTATCAATTTTACATTTATAATTTGATCTTATGTTGTTTACCACAATAAATGATATTGTGTTTTTCGTTGTTGTTTGTACATATACCTCCAACTAATTTATTCTATAGATGCATAAATATTCTATAAATAGAATTTATTCTTAAAATATGCAATGAAAAGTAGACCTTTCTTATTCATTTTTAAGTTACATTACTCCTGAAAGAGGCTCGTTACACTTAAGAGGTTTCAATGTTGTCGAGTTTAGATCGGTTGGCTATGATACTAAGTTTTTAATCAAACTTTGTTTTTGGGGAGACAGTATGGGATCTATTATTTCAAACAATAAAACATCTATTTAGCAAAACAGTGCTTTAGTGTTCGAAAGTATACCAAGGTTTATTGCTGGCGCTATCCCCTTCTATCGTTTTGCGTAAAAAAGACACCCAGAAAAGTAAGAATATAGGTAACGACAGCCACTTTGTGTTCCCGTTGCTTGTTCCAACTCTCCCTCATTTTTGAGACTTCTGTTCATAATTTTTGGCATTAATTAGCTTTATTAGTGAATCAACTGTCTATTTCCAAAATAGCCAAACTTTCTTTCTAGCTAGATGTGCTGTCTTATTTTACGTTTTTGGCAGTCAGGGTGTTTTTTCCCATAGGCCTATATTACCCTAGCTCACGTTAGTTGGATAAAATGATAGAGACATGCTTTGAGCATAGGAATTTTTCAAGAGGTTTAGGCACTAAGATAGAGCAATCTACAATCAGAAAAAATTATGTTATCTCAATTTTCTTTGATTAATCTTAATAGTCGTTTTTTCCTTTGAGTATTGTCATTTTCTCGAAGTTACAATCTGATCGAGGTTCTGTTTTGCAAAATTAATATTATTGTATTGGCGTTTGAAATTAACATTACAGTGAATAGTTAATTTCATAAATTGATATTATTGCTCTATCATTATCTTTATGAATTGATATTTACTTTGATATGCCAAATTTTTTATTAAAACATCGTTTGCCAATTGTTTTCTTTCAGGTATCCCTTCTATGTCACATCATTGTTTCGAAAGAATTTCCGGTTTTTGACATGGCTGCGATACTCTCTTTGGGTTGTGTTGTATCCATTGGGACTTACCTGCGAAGGTTAGTTCTTCATCAACCCAATTTTTCTTGCCTCATTTTGTCCTAGATCTCTGTATAGGGCAAAATTGATTAGAACCAAGTGAATTGATATCCTTTGCAGCTGTAAACTTTAGAACTAGGTATGAGTATTTAACTTATTTTAAAGGTTCATCAGATTTCTTAGTTTTTATGAATTATTGAATGTAGCAAGTTAATTTACATATATCATTGTGCCTTTTGTAAATGGAATATTTTAAATATTGGAGAGTGCACACCAAGTTCAAATCCCCTTTAGAACATTTTGCAGACCCTAGAAACATTTACGAGTCAGAAAAATCACCCGTGTTAATTGCCACTCCAATTAAAGTAAAAGTCTAAACAGGGGGTATGCCAAAGATAGACAGCTTTGTGCTGAATTTTACTGGTTTCCAAAATATTGAACTCAATATTACTGGACTCAAATACACAATCTGCTCTTTCAAGTTTTTTTTATTTGTCAAAAAATTGCTTTGCCAATTTTTTGGCCTCAACGAGACCTTGCCTGCACTTAAATATTTTCAATTTTGTTTTACAATTTTAAAATTAACTCGTTGATAAAAACAAATTATTGCTAGTTCAGCAAAAAGAGGTTGTCAAGGTGATTGACATTAACTTGCTTTAAACAGATATAGTTTATTGATTTCATTCTGTGTTCTTTCTTTCTACATTTCTCCCTATTATTTTACTTTTCGTCATAAGCATGTTAAAGTTGGGATGCATTTTAAAGAGAGAGTTTGTTCATTGAACTTTACCATTATCAAGGGTGCGTTCATTCAATGGGGTGGTAGAAAGAAAGGGAAACTAACTCATGAATGATACAGTATTGAATATTAATTTACACATATTTGACAGAGAGATATTTCTATGTTAGACATTTTCTAACAGTAAAATTTTTCGCCTATTAGCTGGATTTTAAAATTGGTTTCCTGCAGTAATAATGCTATTTGTTTTAGGTCTAATTGTGTATAGATCAATTCCATATGCAGAAGAGACACGGCGTATTTCCTTGGACCTGCCAAACCAACTGAACTTCTCATTTAAGTTCTCATATTTTCTAAGATGCTACATGTTTCTTTTGGTTTTTGGTGAGTAAAATTCCTGGGGCACTTCTCCTTAAAAATCTATGTCTGATCTGTTGTTAAATGTAATATGCTCACACTTCTTATCTAAAGTAAGTATTTGCAATATTACTTTTAAATAGAATTTTAAGAAACTGCCCTGTGAACCAAAAACTAAGAATGATCCTCTAGGTTAATTTCAAATACATTGCTTTAAACTTGGGCTGCTGGGTCAACTTTGGAATTTTCTGAAATTTTTCAATCAGCAAAAGCATAATTTTCTGCGTTTTCTCTTATCTTTGTAAATTCCAACTTATCCTAGAGATCTTTGAAATTCATATTGATCACCGAAAAACATCACATTTTAATCTCTTTCAGTGCTTCCAGAGGCATTGCGTTACAATCTAGGAAATATTTCTGACCACTAGCTTGGCTGCCAGGCCTACTCACAATGCTTTGGAAAGTTGAAAATAACCAAATAGTTTAATCAGAAAAATATAAGTTTCTTAAGCTTCTGTGCATCTTCAAAATTGCCAGTTTGTATAATGGAAGACATTTTCAAGACAGAATATATTTACATTTTAATTCTTGTTTCATGGCCAGTAAGAAGTTTGTTTCAATTGACTGAAGGAATGTTTTTTACTAAGGGGGAGCATACATGATGAAGCATCTGCTTATTCTGAGAGAAAGAAAACTTGGGACACGTAAACAGAGATCTGCATTGAAGAAAGACTAAGAAGAACTCCCAAAAGACTTAAGGTTACATTATGAATACTTTTTTATTGGCTTTGATTTTATGATTATAGTCAAAATCTTAAGTTTGACTTATCCCTTATGTTGCCATTTAGCAAAAAATCTTGCATAATTTAATGTGGAGAAATGCTTTAAAGGAAGATGATAAAATTCAGCCAACAAGAAGGGGTTTTAATTCAACCTTTTAAATCATGTTTTTAAAGTTTGAATCTCAAAATGCAAGTACTGAAGAGTCATCTATACATTTCATTAGTAGTTTGTCAAAGTTTTACATTTCTTAACAAGCTTTTGGCTAATGAAAGCTTCAGATAACGAGAAAGAAAACCATTTCTTGGTATGTGTATGCGTCATTGTTGTATTATCAAATTATGCAGTTATTGGATAATTTTTAAGGAATATATGTAAAACCAGTAAAATTTACATAATTCACATAACACTTGCAAAATCTGAAAATGGAACAGCTCCTGCATGTGATATATATTGTTTGAAGCTATCAATTTTGAAAGATGCTACCCTTTTCTTAATTCTATCAAAAAATGCAAAATTAGAGTTTTCTTTTTTCTGAACCAGATAGTAGTGAACTGGATTATCAGTCAATTTGACTTCTTTCATCTTCCTGTTTGACAATTCTAGAGAATTTGCAAAACTTGGAAGTAGTGATCCTGGAATTTTGTTGCAGCTTGAAATAAAAAAAGAAATAAAAACATATGAAATTTTGTGATTGACTGAAAACATTGTTTTAAAATCAAGTCTTCAGGTTTTGCTTAATTGGTCTGAGTGAAATGAGAAAAGCAAAGAGCCTTCATCAACATGAAAATTATTTATTTGAGTATTGTGTTGTTTGTATAAGTTACATGTTTCATAAAAAATTAATCCTTGCAAATCAATTCTGGGTAGCTGTTTGTTACCTCAGATCAAGGACCTTCAAAGCTGAAAGTGCTGATGGATCTGCAAGAACTTCGATAAAAAGACCAAACTCTCCTTCACCTAAGGGAAAATTGGAAATTTACACTGACAAAGAAATGTATAGATAGTGACTAAGGTGCATTGAAAAATCTGATAAATGAATCACAAATATTTAGATTAATATTTAAATTGGTATCATGAAATGTTTGAAATGAAAATCTTGAGATAAATTATAAGCCCTTTGTCTTTGCATAGGCTTTGTACTTCATAGCGACATAAAAGTTATATTTTACAACATACCAATTCTGTTTCCAGACAAACAAAGTGCCTCTAGAGTTGAATTTCTAGAAAACGACCTCATTGTTTCTTCAGTGAAGGCACCTGTTGACAAATATTAGTTACTTTAGAACAGATGTGTTTGCAAGACTTTATCCAACAATAACACAAAATATTGTTCAAAAAAGAAAAAATTAACATTTCTCAAGAAAGAAGGTTTATCTTTTAACATCCCATAGATCATGGAATGAAAGTAAATTATCGAGGTTTCATAGAATTTGGCAAGCATATCACAGCAAGGCAACAACAGAATTTATGACACTTTATTTGATTAATAAATTTTTACCATGTTTATTTTTGGAATAGTTTCTACATAGAAATAGCATAACATGATGAAGCCTGTACATAGATTATGAATACAATGGTGATGAAGTAATACATTGCTGATATAAAATTGCAGTCAGCACCTCAGTTCAATTACTTGAGACATTTCACAAAAATATTCATCTGAAATTTGTGACCTTGTATAATGGTTGAGCCTTTAAAAAATCGTCTGGCTACAAGTTATTTAAAAAATACTATATAAATACTGATAGTGTTTGCGTTCTAGACAGTTTAGCAAGGTATCTCCTTTGATTGTTGATCTCTTGGGAGTTTCCATTTGAACCTGGTTCAAATCATTCCTCAATACCTGAAGATGACAGTGCAATATCTGGCCTTTGGGAACTTTTAAGCAAAATAATGTTCACAAGCCTACTTCAAACCAGGCTTTTTCTTCTTGCTGAAATATTTGAATAAGACACTCATTTGTATTTAACTCACCAGGTCCAATGCAACATGCAAGTTTCAGATTTTTCAGTTTCCCATGAACAAATAGGCTCCTTAAACTGTCATCACTGCAGCTATCATAACTGTTACCAGACATGTCAAGATGCTCCAATGAAATACTTTCTGAATGATTATAAAGTATAAAATTATTAATTAATTAAACAATCAAATGAATAGGAATGAAAATGGCTTGTGGATAAGGCAGTGAACTAAATGTCATGTGTATTCAGATTTATTACTTTGCTAAAAGGAATTTCAACTATACCCCCAGGAGCTCTGTTGGAAAGGCAGTTGCATCTAGTTTACTATTCCGAAACAATATTTTCATTAATAGCCAAAGTCTGCCAGAAACTAGTTCATCAGTTATACATTACAGGGTGAAAGGGCTTGAGTGCATTCTGCATTCCCAGCAGTTGTTGAATTTTGTTATGAATTTATTAAAGGCATTTATTACAGGGAGTCATTTAACAGAGCGAGAAATTTTTAAAAATGGAAGAAAATCAATGGGAATGAATTTTCATGTTTAATGATGTAGAGAATAAAGAACTGTGACACTCCTTACAAACAAATTATTTCTAGACATGATCCTGTATTGTAGACATGATCTTACATTGTTATTAATTTTCTCATATACCAGGTCATATTTTTGTATGCAGCGTTTATTAGAGGAGGATGTTGGCTAGGAGAAGCATTTATTTGAGGTTAAGAAAATACCCTTTGCCATTTTGAAAATGAAACTGCAACCAGAGGTATCCATGCCACAGTCTGCCAGCTTGATGGACTTTAAGACCAAAGAGGATTTTAAGGCTTGTGCAAGAGCCTCTGCATCAGTGGACCCAAATTTGTTTTCACTCAAATCCAAGGTTATCAAGTCACTCCAGTTGCAAGCACAATTGAGCTCTGAGTCAAAGCACCACCTAAATTCTGTACTGTTGTTAAGACCATTTTCTGCAAAACTGATAGAGTTATGACAGGGTACTTGTGATGAATTCAAATTGCAGTCAATCAATTTGAGTGTTCTGGGCTTTGGCACTGCTGTAGTGTTTCGTTTGCTACATTGTTCTCTTTTATGCCACAATAAGAGCCTTTTAGATTGGCACCCTGGCATACAATTTTCTAATATTATGCTTTCAATACAGTTGTTATTAGCAGAGTTTAAAAGTATTGCTTTTATGATTTGATCAGATTCTCTAATCAAAAGTCTCCATTCTGGAGACAATGCAAATGATGTCAACCTAGGCAATTTGTTCACTATGTCACAAATAATATCCATTGCTTCAGTTGATGCATGACAATTTCTTAAGCTTAAACTTGTGATGCATGGGGCAATTTTACCATCTGTATTACAGTGTATTATTTCGTTTTTAGTGCCATTTATGAAGTCACAAGAAGGATAAGTCTTTCTGATGCTGCCATTTATGGAATATGTAGCTCCATCCAAAGTTTCATTGAATTTTTTCTGCTTCTTTGGGGTTGCAAAGCTATCTCCTTCAATATATTCTTCTGGTTCTATGTTCCTTTCCCTTTTCAATTCATTGCTTGTGATAGTTCTATTTTTGGTATGGTCATCAAGTAACAATTCATGAAAGTTTTCCATAGACAGGGCACCAAACTTGCAATTCAAAAACGTTAAACCCTTCAAATCTGGGAAAAACTTTGTACATAATACATTTCTAACACATGATATATGGCATTGCTTGAAGCTCATAAAATCACGCAATTCTATATGATTAACTTTTGAGGTTGACTTCTGCAGTTCTTCATGCAAAGTTATCATGTATTCAAGATTTTGTAAAATTCTTGGATAAAATCGTATAATTTTGAGGTGATCTTGAAGCAGTGTATTCAAACTTTTCAGGGTATCAGTGAATGATTCTTTGTGTATCTTTGAAAACAATCTTGACTTCTTTATGTAACAATCAAACCACTTCACTGCAAATAAGAAATTACGCAGAAAGTCAGATATGTCATGTTCTTCATCATATGTTTTGCTACTAAAGGGATATTTTAGGTTATGAAGCAAGAACCTTTTTACTAGATTTAATTTTTTGTTAAAGCTTGTACAACAACTGAACAGTAATCAGGATTTGGCATTTCCAGAACGTATAGGCATTTTGTACTTCAATGCCAGGTTAGTTATAACAAGAAGACTAAAAGGTCTTACTTACTCAGAAACTGAAACTTGACCAGGTAAATGTGTCATACCAAAACTAGTACTTAATTGTGAAGATTACTGGCAGTACCATAGAAATGATAGAGTCATCCAAAGGGCACCATTGCTTAAGAACAATGGGAAATAAGGTGGTTTTTCATTGAAAACAAATACTTTTTGGAGGGGAATGAACCATCCAATAACAATAGTATCTATGACCCCATTACTGGCAACTAGTATGTTTATGTATAGAAATAGTTATTTCTAGGTTGTTACTCTTCAATATCATCATAACCTCTTACCCTAAGCTATCAAAATACAGATTCAGCTCTGTCTAATGAATTTAATGAAGAAAAACAAACCAAAAAGATCCTCATTTTTATCAAAATGCTGCACCACATCATGAAAAACTCTTTGGAAATATATTTGTTGAGTGCTTCTTCCAGTGGTATCTCCTTGTGACCCTGGCTCATAGAACTTGTTAGCTATTCTAGAAGCTAAAGTTTTCCAAAGCCTCTCCTTTTCAATAGCTAAAAGAAAAAATTGGACCAAATAATTTTTTGGATTGGACTAAATAAAATAAATATGAATTCTCAATAACTCGTAATGCAAACTGTAAACCTTATGGCATAGTAGGGCATTTAAACAAACTACAAGAAGGCATGTGTATTCTTCTGTTTTATGATTAGGAGCACAGGAATGGAGCAAGGGAAGCTATTTGACAAATATAAACATTATCTCAGGCATTTATTGTTTCAGACATGGATAATTTCCATTCAGAGGAACTTCCCTAGGCAAGCAATGAAAAACAGTCTAGCACACTCCTCTTATCACGTTGACAAAAAAATAATGTCAAGAATGCTGTTATTTCGCATATTCAGGCAATAAATTCACAGAATATATTCAAAATGCAGTTAAAAGTCTGGCTGTGCACATTCACAAAACAAGGTGTGATGTTTGCAAACATCAATTGTTTACAAGCACATTATTTGGTTTTGTGCACATAAATCACTTTAACTTGGTTCAACAAAATTCTCTAAAATACAAAAAGGTCAGAAAGTGGCTATTTGCTGCAAGTCTGTGTGCCTGTATGGAAGTGGATATAAATCATAAATTTTTATAGCACTGTTATGAGGGCATAGAGATAAAGGGTCTAGATAAAAGCTCCCTAAGTTTCCTTTTAGGATGCATCTTTGGCTAAAGGGGTTTTGGCCTAGACTTGATAAATTTGCTGGAGTTACTCTAACAATAAGCAAATGAGGAGAAAACAAGGCAAAGTTGGGGCCGGAGGGCTATCACTCCAGAGTAAAATCTGTGTTTCTAATGTCAGAGACCTCTGGTATGGGTGTGTCCTATAGGCTGACATACTAGTTAAGGAGACATTTTATTATTTCTTTGCTGTAAAAAGGTATTTCAATTTTGTAACTTTCAAATTCTTGTTGTATAATTTCTTATCTCCTGACAAGCAAGGTTGAAAAACCTATGAGTTTGGCAGATGCATGTCCGCAACAAACAGCTATCAGCTACAATCTATGAGCGGAGGCATTTGAGCTGGGAGTAACGATGTTCATACATACATACATGACTAAAGTATAATAAACATGATTGATTGACTTTGTGGGTCCGATCTGCAGAGTACTGCAGATGCACGTGTCAGTGTAGGGCTGAACTTCAAAATTTGAAATTTCATACCAAATTTACTTCAGGGCTACTATGAAATTTTTTTTGCATGCCATATGAATAACAAAAGGTGGTTTGCACACAGAAAATGTGCTTGGAATTATTTTGCATTTGCCAGATCTCATAGAAAACTGCCATACTATGAAGACTTGTTATCGTTCAAGTGCAGGCAAACAAAATCCAGCATAAACCCAGCACAGGCAGACTGACAAGGCTCCTGCGTAGAAGAAACAAAGTGTTCCAACCTTGCATTTACTCACTGTCAAACCCATCTGTTTCATGTCAATGATGTCTGGTAACCCTGCACATACCTTTTAGAAATCCTTTTGATTCAAGAAGGCATAGTCCATAGGCAGATACATTATGTGCAATTTTTTTGACAATGCTGCTGGGCAAATCTAAAAAGAATTAGTGGTATAATAATTGAAAAAAGATGTGGAATAGATATTTCTTTTTGGAACAAAGAGTGAGTTATGACAAATGACAAATATTTGCAAATGAAGAAGTACAAGATTAAAGTCCATCCAGTAAATTAGACGAAATAAGACATTTCAGCCATCAAAGGGCTAGTTAAAAATTCTACGTCACATTTCCTTCCCTGTAGCTCTTGATCCTGCCATAATTCTTTTCATTTTTGAAGTTGAAGTTGAAAACATTACCATGATGTTATTCTAATTTTTCCCTTCTAAATTTTTCAATGTAGATAAAATTCTCCTTTAGAAATTGACAAGAAAAAAATCAATGTCGAAACAATATCATTTTTGCTGCCTTACCAGAAAATAAACTTAAATTAGCACAGAGAACTTTGTCGTCGGTAATTACACTTAAAGACTGGCTTAGAAGAGTGGAAGGTACTTTCACCATGCCTTCTCCGTCCTCCATCTTTGGAACCTCTTTCCGGTGTTGCCTCGTTCACGATATATGCTCACATGTTCTAGTAAATAATAAATATTATGAGGTGCAGGAAAGAACCGTGTGAAATGTAGAATTTAATTTCAGTGAGACCGAGGGATTCAATTCGCTTTATTGTCACAGAAGAATCTTAGAAAATGGTGAGTAATGTATATTTATTTTATTGTCAATACCATATATAAAAGATATTAACACTCAAATACAGTTGATATGATTGGGAGTGAACTGAACACTGAAGTGGAAAACTGTCTTTAATCTTTTCAGTTCAGTTCAGTTCAGTTCAGTTTTCATTTTTTAATTCCACTACATACAATTTATCAATAATAAGACAAGCATACATCTAAAATACAAGAAATTAATACAATATACCAATACAAAACATAGACACAAGATAGATTGTATGGAGGGAATTACTTACAGGAGGAGCTCTCCCAGTAGTTAGACTAATCGAGGAGAGACCACTCCCTATTATAAAAGTATCTCATATAAAATTGATTTCTTTAATTGACATTATGATGTTGACAAAACTACTTGATGGGCAGATAATGACATTTTTGATATCCACTTTTCCAAAATTTAGTAATTAGTTTCAAATAGGAAAGCTTTGATTTTTCGAGGAAAACTATTAACAGATGGAGATTGTTTATCACTTTTGCAGAAAATGATCTGCCAGACTGCGGAGAATGGCATTTCTTGAAGAGATCTTCTACCTACAAGAAACAATAAAGATTTGCGCACATGTGCTATTCTCTGTTCCGGGCAATTAATCTTCGTATTTGCCAAAAATGGAGCATAGAATTGGAATCTTCATGTTAAAATTGGTCTGTGCCGAAAATTTTTCTTTGTTTGGGCTTTCAGGCAGCGAATTATCCTATTTTCAAAACGTAGCTTTTCCTGTGCATTCCAATGGAATTTTTTGCTATAGTGAAGTTTCTTCACTACAGCAGCAAATTCCGGTCAAATTTAAAGAAATATCTAAAGATTCAAAACAAAGTAATTTGCGATCGGACGGTCCAAACAGCATGAAGTTCTCAGTATAAACTAATTTCAAGATGAAGATTTCAAATCTGAAGCCCAGTTTTTAGAAAGGTCTGTAGATAGCGAGATATAAAATCGATGATACCAACCCGGAACAGTGAATAGCAACAAGCTTTGAATTCAGGCAAAATGCAGCCGAATAATACCTGCATGCAGCCCCCACAGTTTCTATCACATCACTGAACTGAATCATTGAAAAATTAGGCTTCCTTAGTAGGGTCTGGACTCACCGTACAAAAGCCAAGTCATATGACTGTCCAATGTTTCATGGAACCATTTGTGGTCCCAGCCCAGACTGGAAACTTTTTCATGCGCCTGCAATATATTGTCAGTGCAAAAAATTTTTCCATCTCCTTGCTTTTGCATATTTGCTGCCCAAAGTCCCTAGTTAATAAACTTTGCTACTAAATGTTTCTTAATGTGCACGATTTCAGGCACGCAGTTGCTTCATTAAAATAACATACAAAAAACACACTAAAAATTATATATGTAGCTTTGAATGACAAGAATTCATTTGAGTGAGTGGAGATGTGAGAAGAAATTAAATTCAATGTATGTACATTAAATCAGGCCATGCTGGAAATAAAATGACAGGGGTGCAATGAATCACACTCATTGTGGTGCCAAGGCGTGCAATGGTGTGCTGTATTTAGACTAGACTAAATAACTTCATCATAAGGAAGCACAAATAAAGGCTAGTCCTATCAATACCTTTTTATTAAAAAAGCTTCATTAACATCAAATCCAAAATATTAAAGAGAACAACATTAACAATAAGGGAGGTTAATTAATATTCCTGACAATCTCATTTTTAAAATTTCAAAATTTTATCTGTGTTTACACCATAAAAAAAACTAATCTGTTGACTAATGTTAGAAAGAATTAAATTGTTAATTACACATTTCTTGGGTACAAATAGCTTTTTTGTACCAGTATATAGAGGAATTTTGAGTCCTGAGAAAACAGGATTTTATTGATCGCACTTATAAGGTACACTCTTAAACCACAGCATAATCTGGGTCAAGTCACTTAAAGCTTAAAGATCAATAAGCCTGTTCAAATAAAAACAGCCATACATGTGCCATGAATTGTAACTAGTTACTGCAAATGAGACATGTGACCACAACTGCAAGGCAAGAAATATCTGAAGTAATGTTCTAACCTTTTTGATAAGTTATATGTAACAAGTTTGGTATTAAACTTTTCATTTATAATTAAGAAGTGCCAACTTGACTGATGTTGGATTTTTTTAACTGACTGGTGTTTGATTATTTTTGTGCACTGTGTTGCTTAAAAGTTCAAGATTTTTGATTGCCAAAATCTATAAGATGCGAAAACAAACAACATTTTTAATTATGATCTCATAGACATTGTAAATTGAGCTTTTTAGAAGAGCAGAAAGAGCTTCAGGACTGTAGTTTCACTGAGGGGACAAAAATAATTGAGGGAACTAATTGTAATTCCATTAAAGTAGGTGTCATACTTTGGTGTGACATTTAAAGGGAATAAAAAGGCAATTTTTCTTTAAATAATGCCTTAAAATGGTTGTGTATCTCACAAAATTTTTTGATAATGAAAAATATGTTGCTTTTGTCCTTTGATCCCTTATCGTAAAGATTTGTGAAAATTTTCTGAGGGATAATTGCTCAACCTGGTCATTCCATTACCACCCCTGAAGAGCAGTCCATCCGATGACCAAGTACTTACTTCTTACTTTTATGGGAAAATCTTTATTTCTGTTGTTTTTTTCATTGCATTTATAATACCAAATTTTTTCAGGTAGAAGAATGGCAGCAGTGATTCCATGATGAAGAAAAGATCAACCTTTGCTGATTTGACATTTTCATGATTTAAGTACGTAATTTTGAGTTTTGTACTAGTTTTTTTATTTATTGACCCAGAGCTTTTCCTACAAGTGTATCTTGGGCAATGATGCCCAACATCTGGTAGCTAATGACCTTCCTCATTAGATATTAAAAGAGCTTCCTTGCAATCAGTTTTAATTCTAATTTATTGAAAACAAAATAAAAGTTTCTGAGGTAACAAATTTAAATAAATCACTTTTCTAGTTCAAGATT